CTCTCTCTCTCTCTCTCTCTCTCTCTCTCTCTCTCTCTCCTCCAGCTGGCTTCCAGATGCCAAGTACCCTTGTCTCTTCCAGTTTCAAGTTGCCATTCCCGTTTCGGTCTTTACTAATTCCCAATGTCCTTGCCTAAAGTATGCCTCTCAAACCCAGTTTATTCAAAGAGCAGAAGCACTTGCCAAGTTGGTGAACATCAGTGAACATGGCTCTTGGCTCTGATGAGATCAGAATGTAGAAGGAGCAGAACTGATGGAGTGGGTGGAGCAGAAGGCAACCCTTCGCCTGCCACTGTCCCTTCAATATGTATTCAGTGGGAGATCTGTCCCTGCTCCTGGATGAACACTTGGGCTGTCCCATAACTTTTCTGAGGACGCTTGGGTAATAAAAATCCTTTGACCGGTTTAAGCCACAAAATACAGTTTTCATTCAGAAATTTTAATGTGAATACCAATATTTTGATCAACACTTCAAGCTTCATTCAAAGATAGGCCCTCCCTCCACTTCCCCAGCCAGGGTCTGAGCAGGGAGGCCATGGGGAAATGGAGCCTTCTTTCTATCCCCATGGGTCCTCCTCCAATTCATAACAAAAGGAGATGGGGAAAGTCTGAGGATAGCAAGTTCATGCTCAACTGGTACTGTTGCCAGGACGGGTTGCTTTCTGGGCCTAGCCAGTTACTATTGCGCTTCCCCTTGGGTGCTTTCTGACACTCTTAGAGACCCAAAAGTGAGTCACCTGACCTGGGCAATGCAGTTTGTCTGCCACTTCCACCCTTGATTTCTGGTTCCCTGCAGGCCACTTTTACAGATTCTCCAGTTGGAGGGGAGGTGGGAGTGGTCCTTTTCCCTCTCCAGGTCTTTCTCTTGGGCAGGATTTAAACATCTGCAGCTCAGCTATCTCTCACGAATGGTTCTCATCTGGTCCTCAGGAAACTCTCCTTTGTATTTTAGTGGGAGTTCAGCCGGCTGCCAGAGCACACGATTCTTCAGTGTTCTTTCTCCCACGCCCCTGCGCTCTCTCTCAGAACTGCTGCCTCCAGCCAATACCTTCAGCCTCCCAACTTTGAATGTCTCAGCTAAAAGTCAGACACTCCAAATACCGGAGAATACCAATCAAGTTACCCTCGTAGCTCTGCTGATACCCTGTCTCTAGTGAGATTCCAGTGGGAGATCTTGGGTGAGTGCTTAGGTGGGACTCAGCGTTGCTTTCCTGAAGAACACCCTTCACAGGTCCTTTCCTGAATTCCACTTCCTCTGTCCCTTTATGATCCTATTTTGAGTGAGGGATTATTAAGAGTCACCAAGGGGCTAAGATATTTCCTTGGAGATTTGCTTCCTGCTCTGGTAATTACTTTATAATTTCACATTTATTGTCTTTGGTGCTTCAGTCAAAAATTTACTATTACATCTTGTCATACAAATATGAATCTGTACAAACTGCTTTTGTTAGTTGCCACCAAGGATGTGGGGCTAAGAAAACGTGTTCTCTAATGTCATAGGCTGTCAAAAACTTAGCTGTTTGAGTATCAGTGAGAATGGAACACCCACTCTTGTCTGGATGATGGGAGACTGTGAATCACAGGGAAGCAGCCTTGATTTCCAGCTCAGGTGCTAAAGCTTCAGATAAAAGATTTGGGGACACAGCATTCCTCATTTCTCTTAACTTTGTAGTTTCCAAGGAAATGAGACTCTGAATCTGCCTTTCAGCCCTGACCTGATGTCAGTAAAAATATTACTAAATATTAATAAAATATTACCAACTGCTTTGCCATGCTTTGAGTCTGTCACAACAGTTTCATTGAAGTCTTACCGAAATTCCACCCTTCCTGCACACCCTACAATAACCCTGTCTCTTCCTGTGTTTGGAAGGCCCTCTGCAGGTCCCTTGGAGCACTCACCCTTGTTACAAGTTCATAAACTGAACTAAGTTTGACTTCAGATTTGTCTCTGCTGGTGTTTGGCTGTTGGGTTCTATCATTAATGATCAAGTCCTCCCAGATCAGGTCATTAGTTCCCATTTTCCCAGATTCTGTCTTTATGTCTGCATCTCCTTTTGCTGCACCAACTCACACAAACTCATCGCCACCATTGTACCACCACCAGAGTTATCCAGAATTCTGCAACTATGATTATATAACACTCAAAGTACCATAAACACATGTGTATGCAGGAACAATAATATCTATAGACTCTAGCAAAAGAAGATATAGTAAAGGGCATTAAACTCACCTGAAGGGCTTTTTCAAATTAAACAACCCCTGATAGACTGATACAATCCTTCCTACTCTTTTCTCCCCAAATACACATAGTTGACTCTAACTCATGACAGCAGCTATCCTGTTCATGAGGGTAGAGGACCGTCAGGTATGTTTGGGAGAGGTTAAGAGACTCCACCCCTCACTAATCTGTTAGACCCTTTATCAAAATTCTAAGTCTGTAAGTTTGGGAAATATCTTTCCCTTTAACTAAAAATACGGG